ACCACCATCTCGCCCACGCTTGTCCTTTAACCGGTCAGAGAAGTAGTACTTAACGGTTGCCACTGTTCCCGTTTTTGCCGAAATACTGCTACTCAAACGGAATGAATTGTGCCAAAACAACACCACTTCAGGATTTAATAGTCATAATTGCCTACCGAGATTGCAGCCGCTGCAGTATTTGAAACTTTATGTTTTCTGAAGATTTCCCTATTTCGTCTCAGTGCCTTCACTATACGAAAGATATGCGAAACCAAGAAGTTGAAGGTAAAACCACATAATGTTTACTGCCGGTACCGCGACACCTCTTCTAATACTCTTTGCATATCACATACTACGATCGAGTTATGGTGTTTTATTGTTAATAAATTTATGTCACTCAGATATATCGATGGAGCCAACACTAACTTGCTCTCATTTGGATTACAGGACTGATGGATATCATTAGTGATGACATCTTCCATAATTATACATAAACTGATATGAAATTTTAGTCTATAATCATTTGAAGTGGCATGATGGTACGGTATATATACGTCCATCTAAAAGCCACTGATCGAATGAAATTTCATGAGAGCGCCCTACAAAGAAAGAAAAGTAGAAAGATCATACAAGGCAATTAAATGACAAAATTCTCAACGTTATGGAAGCGAAATTTCAATACCAAATGTCAGAGGCGGTGGCTTTTGTCGTACATCCATATGTCTCTCATATAGCCATTTGTAGAAAACTGTCATTAAGCTTAGCCAGCTTTCATCTCCAACTTTCATCTCAAAAAATCGTCAGTAATCTGCTACACATCCAATTGTATGGCAAAAGGGAGCGATTGAACGCATGCTACAACGAGCTGGTGAAAGCCGTTCACGGAGGAAAGTCTTCTTAAGGTTTTTTCTTTGCTAAAGACTTCACGGCCAGATTAGGAACGGCAGATGAGAATTAATACAGGATGAGATTTGCAAGAAGGGAGCAAAACCGAGAACAGAAACTCTCTTGTAGGACTCAAATACATAGCACGTCTCATCTCATGGAAATTTTTTTTTTCAAGAGAAAAACAAAATTCGTTGTGATGTTCTCAAAATACGTCCTCCCCAAATGACTGGCGGACAAGAGGAAGGGAAGACCAGTCGATGGCTACAAGCTTCTTGTAGATGGATTCAAAACTTGTGCCAAACTTGCGTCACCTCTATGAGCAAGAAGCTTAGATTGCATCCTTATCACCACTGAAAAGTTACTCTGCAAAAGAAGGAAGCTAAAGATTGATCTCACTGCTACACAATCGGCCCGGCTGATACTATATGCCAGCGGTGGATAATTTTTATAGGAAAAATTGATATCGGTGCAGACAAGAAAAACTTATTCTAAGCAGATCAAAAACAACCTGTTCTAAAGATATGTCATCGTGATCTTTACAACTAAGGCATGTTAGGCAGTTCGCCTTGGTGAAAAAAGATGGTACCATCATTATATCTCGACATGCGTGGCATTGTTGACGGATAAATCTCAGCATCAGTTACCACAAAATCCTCGTTGCGGACATCGAATTCCATACTTGAAAACACCACTAGGAATTCCATCTTTTGGAGATTGGCTTAAATGGAAGTAGGAAGCACAGTCCTACGACCCGCTATTATCACCACCGACTTGTGGTGTAAGGCTACATTCTAGATGCACTTCGCGCAAACCATGAAAATCATGCTCCCAAAGAAATAGATTTTTAGACCAGAAGAAGTCGCCGCGTCCAATCATCCTACTAACGAAAAATAATCGGACGATTTGTAATTGCTGTTCACGATGGCTTTCGAGTGTACTCTCTGAATTATTCGCAGAGATTATTTTTCTGCACATAACGGAATTCTCAATGGAGTCACAACCAACGCGTAAGCAGTTTTGACAGGGAGTCTAGTGCATGAAATAGATTCGAGCTGTATCAAGGCTTATTGGAGTCTGTCAGAAATGATATTTGCTCTTTGCTTTAGTCTCTATCGACTACGGGAGAGCGTTTGACAATGTCGAAGAGAATGTTATCCTATCAGCGATTGCCGATCAAGATGTAGACTTGTCCTATATAAGAAGGTCAGCCAACTGCTATCGAAACTGCAGCGAAAAAGGTAGCGATTCTGCCAACTCTGCTCGTCTGAGACATGGTTCTGTGTGGACTCTACACCTTATTGAAGGGTCTTTTCGAAAACTGTCAGCTAAGGCTGTAACTAGAGATCCAGTTTCGAACGACACTATCGCTCTCATGAAAAGCTCCTGTCCAGCGAATCTTTCTCATTTGCTGCCTCACAATGGACAAGTACCGTATTACCAAGCAAAATTCTCTTTACTAACCGCTTTCAGCGGTAACATGTCACAAATATATATCCAGTATTGTTAAGTATTGTGCAAAATCTTAACGTCGAACGGAATTCGAACCCGCATTTCATCCTTTCGTTGAAGCTGCCACGCCGGCAGATATTGGGTATTAGCTCTACCTGTCGCAGTCACTGACTCTAATGCCGATATCGACTTTCCAAGGCTAAACCGTTGACGGCTGGTTAGTGACATATTGGCACATTGTGTCGCTGAAAGGGTGGGGTCAGAGCGAGAGCCGGTGGTATAATGGTTGGCACCAGCCGCCGCAAAGTGTGAAATGCCGGTTCAAATCTGGTTCGACGTTAAAAGTTCTGCATATCACTCAGTTACTTGATATATATTTGTAATATCATACCCCTTATAAAAGTCTACTTGATCAGACACCAAGAAACTTCTACTCCATTCGCATATTGTTAAGTTAAGCCGACAGATGAGATCAAACACCGCACAATATGAGCTATAACGACAGGCTTTCATTTTTCTCTCTACTCTTTTGTAAAGATCTCTCTTGTCACCCATAAAGCTGGTAAAATCTGATTGTTCAGTAGTTAATCGCCACAACTTTCACAAACTCCTTTTGGTCAACAAAGTGGTTGAAAGGAAACAGCTCGAGAACACGGAGAGTATCATAATTCTTAATTGCTATACTAGACCTCTGAAAGGCTTAGGAAAATTCCATTTTAGCATATCGCAATTTTGGCAATAAGACCCTTTACTTTTCCTATATAGATCAGCCACAAAGCATAGCTGGCTGAACCTTTTCGGCACAAGTTGACTTTTAGGTGGAATTCTGGATGGAGATTTACGATTGCTCGATTTCGGAACACTGCTGTCGAGGGACACTTGTCGCCTTACGTCGACGTTCGACACTATCGAAATCCTCTAAGGTGCTGACAAAGTGAAAGACACAGCGGTGACGAACGGTGGACGATTACCAGCAGCAAAGGGACAAAAAGTAGCCGAGTGTAATCCAGTACATTTTATGAGTTAAAAATTTCATTGCCGGATAAAATAGAGGAAGAAAACGCAAACGAACGACAAAGACTTCGCTCAAATATAACACAACTTTACGAGCGATATTGCAAAGTTACAACATCTCACGGAAGTAGAATCCATCTCATCGGTCGATCCTAAACCTCGATTTAAACATCACTAAAGTGAGTGAAAATGTTCAGAGTCCTTTGCGTAGGATCTGGGCCACCGATGAAGCGGGGAACACCGCCGAAACGTACGTATGGCTCCGATGTACCTATCTCAAGCAGTAACACATGAATTTTCGAGATCTCATCAATGACCAGAGCTCACGCATCTCAGTAATAATGAATTTTTGGTTTTATAAATGTTCGTTCTTAATGTCCTCTCCGATGATTTATAGCCTCATCGTAGCTAGGAGGCGTTCCTGGGTGTCAGACTGCGATTACAGCGGAGGGCTCGACCCCCCAACCCAATAGGGACCACTTATGCTGAGAGAGAGTCCGACGCTCCCACCCGAAAAACTGAGCTAAGACTAAACCGCATCCGAGATAACCGCGGTCCCGGTAGCTACTAGTCGCCTGGTGGTAATCTTACTCTGAACCAGAAGGGCGGGCGACAACTTTCATGTGGTGACGACCTGGAAGAACTCCCAGGGTAGATTTAACTCGGAACTCCAGAGAACAATCACGGACAAAGCAGCACAGTTTCCCTATACTGGGGCCTACACTGTCAGCGAAGACGGGCTATTCTAGTATCAATCATTAAGTAATGTTTAATAGAAACGAGTGGTGAATGAGGTCTTTCAGAACCACTCCATTAATCATTAATACCAGTTGTGCTTGACAATTTGATCTGTTCTCAACATTTCCGATATAAATGGATCATATCACAATAAAAAAAGGCGTTACTCATCCTTAGAGTAGTGTCCACGCATTCGCCTTCATACGTAGCCTCACAGAGGAGATTAATAATGAACCGTGGTGCCCCACCAGTGGATCAAATGAAAGCCGCCACTCTTCCAGACAAGTCTGATAGCGACTCATCGACCTAGAGCGCTTGGTGAACTTGGGCGCAGGATCGTACCATCGTTCACATGTATGCCGCACATAGCCCAACTGCTACGCCGTCATAGTAAACAGCAAATTGTGATATAGTGATATATCACAGTGATATAAACCCATAGTATGAATCTTTGCGATGAAAATATGTGTTTTATAGACGGAAAAGCCGCTTTCATACGCTCACAGAGCGATCAATAAGCAACCAATTTTTGTGATCTTGGGCAGCCACAACAACAGAATTCTATTCACACTAAAGAATAAGCACAGAATACTTTTTCTAACGAGTCTTGAAATACAAGGCAAATACAAGTAATGTAATAAGGCTAAGAACAAACGTCGGTGGTGCACTAATTAGAACCTGAACCGCCCTGGAATCGGTGAAATGAGGGCTCGAATCCCGTCCGCTTGCATATCACTCAACAATAAAGGGATGTAAGCCATAAAGCCCTCAGCCACCACTCGTTCCACGCTACAATGCAGCAAATCGTCAGCAACCAACTGTCAACGGTCTGGCCTGGCAAGCCATATCGACATTGACCCAGTGACGCTGCCACATATGGGATGTGATTAGATTGATGAGTCGTAACGCAAAAACAGTCGTGGCAAAACAGGGGCGTCACTAGTGCAATTGGTTAGCATGCGATCCCGGAAAGGTTTAAATGCGGGATCGACTCCCGCTCGATGTTAAATTTTTGCGCATCACTCAACACCAACAAGAATCCATGTTGATCACAAACTGTGATCCATTACAATAGTCAGTGGAAATAGAAGATACAGCTCTCAGCATTTATCAACCCCAAGGGATGCGTTATGCATTGGACTCGATTCGTAGCCTCTTAGAGGGTTTGGATGAATCTCTGGCTTTTGCAATGACTCGCTATGGCTTCCAGCTATATCAGGTCAGTGGTGCTTACCCTCCCAGAGATGTCTGAGCTCTGTCTGGCACCAATTTACCGACCTCAGGAGATGTATGGTTGGGTGAGCCATAAGTGCGAGATCGAACCTTTGACCATATATGCGACGGAGAGCACCTATTACCACTGTGCCACATGCGACCATCACTCGGCATTAGTAGGATAAATTCGTAACATCATGTACTCAAAATCACTATTCATTCACACGACCCGCCATCATAATTTCTACTGTGTGAACCCCAGTAGTTCTAGCACTCGATTCGTTTTTCGTCTTGAATAACGTAGAATACTGGTCGAGCATATCTCGTTGCAATCTCGAGGATATCCTGGATGTGGCGTTCCACAGGGCGTTCGTTGTTGAGTGCCGGAGAGTGTCGAGGGAAGGGTGGGAAGGGGGTGGGGGGGGGGAGGGGAAGGGGGTAGTGCTCGCCTCCTCACTCGACGTGGCGAGCATCACAACCACTCGGCCACGGGTCTCCCATGTGTAACGTCATACCACTGTTAAAACAGTTCAGAAAAGAAGAATTCTAGTGATGTATCAGAGGTTTTTCTTCCCTTCTAGTGGGCCAATACAAGAAATAGTACGGTGAACGAACATCGCCAGAGGAGATATACGGCGTATAAACGAGCGGCAGCTCCTCAACCCTTCTGACATCTCGAACTCGAAATTCGGGGGGAAAAATTCAATAATTAAAAGGATATGATGGTCTCAAATAGATCTCTAACCAGATAATTGATAAATACTACTGGATGGCAAAAAATTCCCCCGACTTTTCGCTTTCGTGTGAGCTTATTTACGTTTTTTCAACGAGTAAAAAACAAGAAATGATTGATCAAAGTATTTTCCTTCACCTTCAATCACTCCCTCCACTTTTTCCGGCAATTTCATGACTTTGCTGCGGTAAAACACGGTAGAATTCCTGCAGAAAGTCTCAGCAACACTTGAAATCAAATGGTATTACTCTAGCATCAACAGTCACCTCTGCATTCCTACCACCCTCCCCCCCCCCCCGCGATAAGATAAAATGCGGGTTCGTTTCCAGACAGAAGCAAAAGGTTTTGCACATGACTAAACATCATTGAGTATATTTATAACATCATGCCACCGGTATAAAGCGGTTGAACAAAAAGAAAAAAAAAGAGAATCGTTTTTGCTCTCGGGACAATTCCACCTTAAGGAAAATTGTAAGTGATCTGTATCAAAAAAACCCGTAAGAAGCGGCTCTAAGAGATAGTAAAAAGTAAAAACTCAAATAAATGAAAAATAACAAACAAAAACGAAAAAATTGGGAAAATTTCTAGCCGACAGAATAAACGTTATTGTGTGAGAATTTCTACGTTCAATAACACCACCGTAAAATGACAAGGAATATACGAATCAACACTCTTCAAGAGATAGCAAATAAGATTTTTATATTTACAGACTTTATAAAAAAAAATCTCTAACTTATAAAGCTGACTCGTAAACAAATAAGCAAACTCCTTCCCTCCGCCAAAATTTCGAACGTGATGCAACCGGTCCACGTAATTTTGCAGACACTATTTTTTCAGAATCTTTTTACGTAATATTGCACACAACTCCTTTTGAAGACCATAATTTCGCCTGGATTTGATCTCTGATCTATTCCTTACTGATCCTGAATTTTTAGAAGAATCTGAATTTACGATTCGCTTACTTGTATCTGTCAAATGGCACGTCTCTTTAGCAAGATATCGCCGGATTCAGAAGAAAAAGTCCTGTTCATTGCGTCATGGAGAGGGGAAAATTGTGCACGAACATGACAGACGAGTTTTTATGAAGCCGCACCATTCAAATACGAGGTAGGTGAGGATTCCGTCAGACATATTCGATTTCCATGTTGACCTTTCTATTGAACGGCGCAGTGGTTAGCAGCGTTGCAGGCCAGGTCGATGGTTCGATCTCGCGCTTGTAGCTCACCAAGCCATTTATCACTCCGCAGTCGATAAAGTGGGCACCAGCTCTTTCTGGAAAGATAAACGCCACTAACCTGATATAGCGGTAGGGCAGAGCGAGTCATTGTAGAGGCCAGATATGCATCCAGTCATTTCTGTGAGGCTACGCATCGAGGTGAATGCATGGCCCATCTTTCTCGGATTTACCAACGCCGACAGATTTATCTTATATTTCCGCTTACCATTGTAATAGATCAAAGTTTGTGATCATCAAAATTTTTTTGATGTTGGGCGATGTGCAAAAATTTGACCATCGGGCAGGAATCGAGCCCGCATTCAACCCTTGCAGAGGGCGAGAACTAACCAGTTGCTCCAGCGACGTCCCTGTTTTGCCACCACTGTTTATATGCTACAACGCATCAGTCTAATCAAGTAGATCCGGTATCATTCAGTATGACCTGAGTTCAATGTCGATATCGGCTAATTGGGCCAAAACGTTGACGGTTAGCTGCTGACAGATTGATTCTTTGTAGAGTGAAAAGAGTGGTGGACAAACAGGCATCGGTGGTGCAATCGGTTAGCACCAGCCCCCGAAAGGGTGAAATACGAGCTCAAGTCCCAGCCGACGTCAAATTTTTACACATCACTCATAATCATTGCAGATAGTGGTTTATGGTGTGAGACAACTAGATTCGCTATCGCCGTTGATAGCAGCCCGTCTGTTCTACACTGCTCTCTATTCAGAATTGATCTTGAATCTCGACTGTTGTTATGTATTGAAACGTTGCGAATTTTTGTATAATCTACACTACAAACCCAAGCTTTTTCTGGGCAGTAGTGGGAAATGAAAACTCGATCTCACTCGCAGGTGAGAAACTTTCCATAGGAGTGTTTGTAACCATTGAAAAGCTGAGATTCTGGCTACAGACCCACGTTGCCGGTTTTTCAAAGCCTCCTTGTATAACGCTAAGTTCTCCACACAACAATAGCGCTATTCCTCGCGGGGCAGAGCTCTCTCTTTAGACTATTAGTATTTAAAGGACAGCGTAGTGATTCCTGATGCCAATGTTGTGCTTATTCCCTGAAAAGACCGTTTCTTTTACGCGCAGTAGGTAAAATAAGTTGATTTCGATGTGTGAGAAAGGACGGGCTGGAGCCAATTCACGTCGCAATGAGTGTGACGGTCACGAGAACTGCTGACGCGATACTTCTTTACGCGTTTATAATTTCGAAAACCGATGATCGCGTCACAGTCACTGGCAGCCGTAGCCAGCGCCCATGTGAATTGGCGCGGGACGCCGCTACTTCCACGTGAGAATTCGACGTATTACCAGCTGCGTTGCATCTTATTTTACCTGCTACGTTTCAGATAAATGGTCTTCTTGGGACATTAGTGCAGCATTGGATCAGGAAGCACTACACTATCTTTTCATTACTATTAGTCCGAAGAAAGAGCTCTGCCAGGCGAGAAATATGCGTGTCTGAAGCCAGGAAGTCCTTTCCTATATTAACGTCAAAAAAAGCCTTTTTCGAAAATCGTCGATGTAGGGCTATAGCTTCGAGTCTCAGCTTTTGAATGGTTTCTAACACTCCTGTGGGAAATGCCTCTCCAGCGAATGAGATCAATTTTTCATTTGCCCCCTCCTAATCAGAAAGAATCCAAATTTATTATAATTTCACTTGGCGATTTCCTAAATTTCTCAAATTCTATTTTTTGGTATTCATCCTCGATATCGAAGGTCTTTGAATACATACATATCCAATGATGTTGAGTGATGTCCAGAACGTGAAATGTCGCACGGGATTCGAACATACATTTCGTCTTTGGAGAGGGCGTTTGCTAACCAGTTACACTAGCGGCACTCGCCCTGCCATCGCTTTTCTTCAATACAGTTGTATCAATATGTCAGCAACCAACCGCCAACGGTTTGGTCTGACAAGCTGCTATCGGCATTGCAATCAGTCACGCTGACAGATTTTGAATAAGTGTATTACGTTATTCCATAAGATTTGGCACTAAAGCAGTAAACACGGAATCTGTTAACCACATACAATTAGAACTGCATGAATTTGAGATCAGTCAATTGTACATTTTCCTGCAAAAATTTTGTTACACAACTGCCCATTTTCGTTCTGAGATGGGGCTGTCGTGAGGACAAATTCACTTTATACTCATGCAAGGTTGGAGCTCAGTGGGAAATGCTAGTGAAGGGGCGCGCAGTATTAATGGAGTTTGGACCGATAATGCAATGATTGCAGAAGGGACGGCTAGGAAGTGCTTCACGAGATTCGAAACAAGAGAGAACAGTCTGGAGAATCAGTCGCGCTTGATACGTCCACAGATAGCTCCGTGAGTCTAGCGCGCGCCTTCACCAACAATTTCCCCTACACGCTGTTCGTCCATAAATAGCAGACGAATTTGTTCCCACGACAGCTCTATCTTAAAACAAGTATAGGCATATTCTATACCAAAGTGTACACAAGAAATTCCGCAATCAAGTGATACCAAAATTATGCAGCTCTAATTGCTTCTGGCTAAGAAGTTTGGTGTTTATTGCTCTGGTGCCAAAACTTATAGAACGACCCATTATTATCAAGATTGCTCAGTATCTCTTCGCCTTAGCGGTGCTATGATGTTGCAAATACATATCCGATAATGCTGAGCGCTGTGCAGATACACTGGACATCGGATAGGATTCGAATTTGCATTTCACCCTTTCTGGTCTACGAATATTTCATTTGTTGCTTCGACTGCTGCTTGAGAACCGTCGTCTTCACTCCAAATGTCGTAGAATCACGATTGAGACGATTTCCTTGCAGTTTTAAAGTTAGTTGAGTGGACGAGTTTTGCAGGGCGTC